ACAAAAAGGAAAAAAAAAAAAAAAAAGACTCATTTTCCCACTGATTTAGAGTGACTTTTCCCATTAAAAGCTGGTAGTAAACCAAAAATTCTCTAATGGAAGCTACAGCTCTGAGATCTTACAATTCTTTATTGAATCTCATTTGTTTTCACTCTTCAAGAAAAACTGAATTAATGTCATTTTAGATGTTTAGTGTGTCTTTTGCAAACAATGACTTGAAAGTTCATCTTAAAAATCCTTCTAGTTGACTTGGTTTCTCACTGCTCTTTTCTCAAAGAAGCATTTATGCCAAAAACTGTATTTAGAAAAGTTTTCTTTTTTTTAAATGACCATTAAAATTCACCCATTATTTCCAATTAGGTGGACTAAGTAGCTTGGAACAACCTCCTCACTGTGATCAACTAGAAAGGCTGGACAAGATGCAAACAAATAAGGACCAGCTATTTGAAAGCACTACCTAGCTGGTAAGACAGGGAGTTATGGAAAAAGAAACCCTCAGAAAAGAACCTGCATCCTAGAAGCCCATATTCCCCTGAAGATAGTTAGCCTCACAGAGACAGAAGCCCAACTTCAAATCATCTCAATCCTGACAGGAAAATAAATAAAAATTAACCAGATATACTAGACATTGAACATATGGCTGAAAATTAAGAGAAGCAACAGATAATAAAATCAGAAACTAAGGGGAGCCACAAAATGGAGTTATAAGGTATAGATCTCAAAATAAATATGACTAGTATGCTCAAAGAAATAAAAGACAAGATTAATAATTTTGGCAGAGAATTGGAAATGATTCAAAAATTCAAATAGAATTATAAGGACTAAAAGATACAATAAAATGTAAACTCAACATGCAGGTTTAGCATCAGAACAGACTTATAAAGAGTAAAAGGTAAAATGGAAATGAAACCAATAGAAAATATCCAGAATGAAATAAAGAGATACAGGAGGAAAGAAATATAGGAAAATCAGGAGGCATGGGCTATAGACGCAAAGGATAATACATATGAGTACATTCCCAGCAATGGAGGCACAAAAAACAGACAAAAGAGATAACAGCTGAGAATTTCCCAGAACAGATCAAAGAGAGGAAAGCCTGTGACTCTCAAGCAAGCTAACAACAAAAACAAAACTCTGATACAACAATCTAAGGGAAACTACAGAAAGCCAAAGATGACAACAATCTATACTCAGAACCTGCCTGGCTGACTTCAGCATCTCTTTTCTTGTAGGTTCCAATACCCATTTCCAGGACACACCTTCTGTCAAGACTGTGCTACTCTACCCAGGCTCCATGCCTTCCCATCCTTCCAACCTTCATGCCTTCCACTCTGCACCTTCATATCACACAGAATTTAGGATTAATAGCTCTCATCAGGCATGTTCTTCAAGGCTGTTCAGTTAGGACTTACATGTATGTGCTACTTCAAGTTTCAGATTAAAGAGGAAAAAAAGATCATTGGGACAATGACATATCTGAGTTTCAAACCATTTTCATGACTACAGAAACAGCATGTAAGTATTCACTGATGAAAGGTATTTCCTGCATACATGCTTATTTCAACATTAAAATTCAATTACAATTTTTTTTTTTAGGAAATAGCAACAATTTTTGTGGTTAATCAAATCTAATCCCTTAACATAAATTTATACAAAAAAAGATGACTATGTTAAAAAGTCTCAATTTCAGTTTAACAGATTATCTAATTTAAGAAAGAACAAAAACAAACAGGTTAAAAGCGAAGTTTCAGTGGAAAAAAAGGAAATGATTGAGATACTAACATTAGCCTCAAGACTAACATTATATTTATTAAGTCACAGGTCAGAAATTTCTATTTAATTCACCAACCCAATCCTTCTACAATTCTGCAGTAGACTTTTAATACCAGGAAACCAAATTTAGCGGTTTTGTTGCCTCATTACAACATGATATCGACATATCAACTCCTCTTCCCGCCACTACCAATTAAAAGATCTCAAACCACTGCAAAGCTGTATCTTTAAAATCAAAGCTGTAAAGAAATTTGTATTATTCCTCCTTCAACCTGTGAAATGATAAACATGATTATTCGTCTCTCTACACTGCTCTCTAAATTTGCTTCCAAAACACTTTTTAACCCATAAGGTAACAAATCAGGATGTTAAGCCTTTGTCTTTAATTTTAAAGGGTCTAAACAACGAAACAAGATTCTATGGGAGTGTTTAGAAACAAACAAAACTTCTGGGATAAATTATTTTGGTTTCCAAACTTTGGTTCACATTAGAACCACCTCAGGAGTTTAAAAAAATCCTAATGGTCAGGGTGCACCTCATATTAATGACATCAGAACTTCTGGAAGCATAAGCCAGGCACTGCATATTTTTTTTTAGATCTCCAGGTAATTCCAACACAGGTGGGATGCACCACCTTGAGGAATTATAAGTTCTTGATTCCTTAGAGAAAAGGCTGTGTGGTGACTGGAACAGGAAGAATGTTATATGAAAGAAAGAAAACCTTCTGCTATCAGCAAGATATTATACCTAAGAAGAATTGTTTCCTCTCCCTGAGTGTTATTTCCTGCCTCTTAAAGAAGGGAATTGTGCTGGAATGGTGGCTGTCAGAAGCTGGTTGGCAGCTCACTGTTATTACACAAACACCACCTGGGAGATGCTGGGCCAGAGGATCTCAAGTAGGGCCACAGAATCTGCATATTTATTTATTTATTTTTATAAGAATCTGCATATTTAACAAGTGCTTCAGGTGATTCTTCATGTAGAACCAGAAGTAATGAATCCTTTCAGCACTAATATTTTGTTATTCTAAATTATGAGGAGTGAAAGTTTACTAATACATTTAAATGACTTTTATTTTATTTTAACATTTACTTGTACATTTGTGGGGTACAGTGTGTTGTTTCAATATACGCAGATACTTCACAATGATTCACTTAGGGTAGATAGGATAATTTTGTACCCGTTAGTACACCACATCTCCTCCCTGCAACCCTTAAATGATTTTTAAAAGAAGAGTTAAAACAAATTGGAACATGTTAGGTAATTAAATTTAAAATATTTTTATTCCTGAGCATGTCAGTTGAAGGCAGATAAGTAGGTATGTATATATTACTTTGTAATTTGTTTTCCTCTTGACTACTTTTTTTTTTTTATTGCCATTCATGACAATGATACTACCTCACACTTAACATAGCACTTACCACTTGCTCCATAGAAAATGCTGGGAAGTCACTCAGGTCAAGGGACCATATTCCCCCCAAAGGCATATCTCTAACCCAGCTTTTCTACAGACCTACCCCCCCCAGGTCAAGGGTAATCACCAGGCAGCAGGCAGCAAGTTCAAACGTCTGAAAAATTAACTTCCATAGTGGGCAAATAAGAAGGTCAAACCTCACACTTTTTGATCAGACAAGATGGAGCATTTTTATGGTTAGTAACAAATTACTCACCAATATTTATTGAGCATTTTTTAAAATGCCAGGTATAAGACCTCTTACTGCAACAATAGAGATGAGCAGATACAACTGCTTTCCTAAGAAATCTATGAGGGCAGAAGATACAGTCGAAAGATCTAAAGCAGAGGATGAAGTAGCTGCCAAGAAATACAACCCCAGGAGCAGCACCTGAAAAATGGTCAGTGGACACTTACAAACACAGGTTGAACGAATACCAAAAAGGCTTTTTTCTTCATTTATTCCTAAAGGAAATAGGTCAAATGGCCATGGAGCACTTAGGAAGACCGGGTAACAGGAAAAAAAAACATAAACTCGGCCATAGGGGTCACCAGCTTTCTACAAAGGGCACAATCACTGGGAGGCAATACCTTTGGGAAGGTCCAAAAGGTTGTAACAGACCCATGAATAATCAATTGTAATTATAAAATAGGATGCCAAATGCCTTGGTGTCGGTTATACTACTAATATGTTATGGGGACCTGGCAATTTCTCTCTGCAAATCTGCTGCTCTACCTTTCCAGTTTTGCTCCATTTTTTCCCCAAGAGAAACAGGAAAACACCAGTAAAGAAATCTAAGTTTCTACAAATTACAACAGACTTTCATGGAATCTGTGTAATTTTAAACGTCTGACCATTGCCAACATAAGGAGCAAAGATGTCATGTTTCTCTTGCACAGGTAAAATGCAGCAGCTCACCTGTCCAGGCCTGAATATCATGAGTTGTATGCTCCAACACAGATTGGAATCTACTATCCTTTTCATTTGTTGCTTGTTTACCAGCACAGTTTTTCCCTACGATTTTGAATTCAGGTTTCACTGTATTATACTTCCTTGGCCTCATAAAAATGAGGCACAAAATAATGCCGAATGGCTAATTTTAAATTTAACCAGTGAGAGCAGATACTGAAGGATCAAAGGATTTTAAACCTTCCTCACATTATCCATGTAAACCTGCCCTGGTATAAGACAACTTTTTTAGAAGAGCTAGGTTTTAAAGCTGAAGCCTCAAAGGAATGAATGTCCCCAAAGTGTCAGTATATAAACCTTGCATTCTGATGGCTTGGGGCTAAACCTTGATTAGTTCACAAATGAAAGATGTTTGGATTTTCTACCTCCTACCTAGTAAATATTCTCACTTTCTTTTTTTTTTTTTTTGTGGCTGGCCAGTATGGGGATCCAAACACTTGACCTTGGTGATTTAATACTGCACTCTAACCAACTGAGTTATCTAGTAAATATTTATTGAGATTATAAAACGGCAATAAATGCTGGCACAACCCAAATTCCCTGCTGGAGGGAAGGCGTAGGCATTTTTATAAGCCAGAAATGCATGGCAAAGTGGTACAAGAAAGCTCACTCTATAAATAGTAACTCTGTCCTGAATGAGACCAATCCTGTCAGTATTATACTGAGAGTTTTCCAACATTCATCCATAACCAATTTTTAAAATAAAACACAACTTGGATAGACTAGCTTGTTTCATTAACCCAGAGTAGAACATTACGATGTAGTAGCATTTGAAAGCTGAAAATAGTATTTTCACACACTGACCTTTTTGCCTTTTTCACTTTTTTTTGAATCCTCATGAAGTTTGATGAGGTCCTTAAAGCCTTCACGTGAGCCATCTAAAACATCATGCCTTGTTGGTCCATTTTTAACACCTAAAACTCAAGTGGATTGAAGATCTTAGAACTCTAATACGACTTAAGCAAAACAAAAAATAAAAATTTCATTTATTCACACATAATGGTAACAGGAAACTGTAGGTCTTTAAAATAAACATTATGCACCTCCTGCTCTTTGAGATCTACTTAGAACTTTCAGTTTATCCCAATCCCAAGCAATTCACTTAACTCAGTGGCAGAACAATTTTTTCTGTCAGGTTACAAGGTTCTATACCATCACAGCTGTCCATTTGGTAATGCAAGAAAATGTATGCATATACTTTATGCTCTTCCTCCAACATAGCCCAGCCTGACAAATGTGTCTTATTCAGCTTGGGCTACCATAACAAATACCACAAACTGTGTGAATTCAACAATGAGAATTTATTCTCAGTTCTGGAGGCTGGGAAGTCTTGAGATCTGGGTGCCAGCATGGTTGGGTTCTGGTAAGGGATCTCTTCCTGGCTTGCAGACAGCTGCCTTCTCACTGAGTCTTACTATAGTCAAAGTGAGAGTGGAAGCAAGCTCTCTGGTGTCTCTTTGTATCTTTTTATAATGGAATTAATCACATCATGAGAGCCCCACCCTCATGACCTTATCAAAACCAAATTATCTCCCAAAGGTCCTATCTCCAGATACCATCCCATCATGGGTTAGAGTTTCAAATCTGAATTTGGAGAATTCAGTCTACAGTAATGTTAATAACCATCTCCCTTGCAAAGTCATACATCTTAGACTCCTGTCACTCCCAATTTTCATTCTAACTTCATTATGCACATGATTATCTTAGTTTTCATAAAATGGTCAAATACAGAGACAAGAACGTCACAGCCCCAGAATTTTAATCATTAAGTTATATAGCCTGAAATTTCACCGTTTAGAAATTTGGGGGGTTAATAATATCATCAAAATATAAACACATCAAGGAAAGTTAGAAAATGGTCACTCATTCACCTCTCAGTGTGAATTAGTTAAATCACAACCTTCACCTACTCAACAGAGGTAAGTGAGATTAAGAAAAAAGTTTTGAGGGCCGAGCCCGTGGCGCACTCGGGAGAGTGCAGCACTGGGAGCGCAGCAGCGCTCCTGCCGTGGGTTCGGATCCTATATAGGGATGGCCGGTGCGCTCACTGGCTGAGTGCAGTGCGGCCGGTCTCGAAAAGGACAAAAAAAAAAAAAAAAAAATTTTGATATTGAGGGAAGAAAGGATGAAATTTCAATTGTAACCACTTTGGAGGCAGAACCTGGCTAAGGTAGCATAAAAACATGTGTGACTTAAACACTAAGAAAGGTAGGGAGATGAAGTGGATGTTGAAAAAACCACAAGAGAAACATGGTCTGGGTCAAAGTTTTGCTTAGAGCCAGGGCCGCAAAGATAAACTCTGATTTCCAACATCTGTCTTCCAGCACATGCTACTTTCCTACTTCTAAGACATGGAATTGAGACTAGTAACACCGATACTAATAATACATCTAAACAATAAATATTTGTACAAGGCACTTGGAAAGAGTTAGAATTAAAAGACCTTCTGAAGGTTGATTTAAGCATCCATAATTTTAACATATATAACACTTTATATATTTTTTAACAAAAATGTTATATATGTTATATATGTTCCAAAAATCAGAATAGTGAATTATTTAATAACAACGTAGAATACAAAATCTTAAGACTAGGGAAACCTTAAAAGACACCTAGAAAAAAACTCCTTTCCATATATACCTTTAGGATATGTACAAGTTACTCAAGGTTCTATATAAGTAAAACTCAGCTAACAAGAGACTGTACTCATATTCATTTGCTAAAATGTCAAGTACACTTTATTAATTATGAAGAAAACAATCTAATCTTGGTCTTCAACAGACAATGTAGAATACTTTATCATTGTAGAGATAATTAAAATATGAATTTATATATGTAAATCAGTTCTAATAATATATAACAATATAGGTTAGTTTTAATACTATATAACTTTCCCATTGGAAGTAATCTCATCTTTTGAATTCCCTGATATTTCTAAACAGATTATCTTGACTATTTCCCTACTTGTCTAAACTCCTTGAGAGAAGATAGATCTTTACATTAACCTTATCTCTAATTATGTTTATTCGAATACCTTGGACATAATAGATGCAGAATAAATATTAGATTCATAAAATCAATCAATCAATCAATCAACAAATTAATCAATTGGTTAAATAGTCAATACCCTTCCTTCCTTGAGGTCAGCCTTTCTGTTAAGGCTTACTAACATACAATGAGCTGTAAAGATTGTGTCCTGTTTTACAGCCCCAGTGAGTGAGGCTGGCAGACTGTGGGGAAAAGCACTGAGAAAACCACTCTTCTTAATACACTGTGGATTATTTGAATTGTCAGAAAGTGCAATAATTACTCCATTTAAAAATATTTAAAGAATACATGTACATGTACACCTACTTATTTGCTATATAGTAATTCATACTTCCTCTTAAATGAAAAAATATTCAGAATATACAAAATATTTTACATCATATAAGAATAGCTAAATGTCTACACTTGGGTGGGTTTAGTTCTTAAATAAAGCACATACAAAATACTTTAAATTAACTCCAAGTAATTCATACTTCCTCTTAAATGAAAAAATATTCAGAATATACAAAATATTTTACATCATGTAAGAATAGCTAAATGTCTACACTTGGGTGGGTTTAGTTCTTAAATAAAGCACATACAAAATACTTTAAATTAACTCCGTTTTTAGAATGGTATATACCTTCTGATGATTTCAATGAACTGTATCAAAAACATCAGTAAGATTATTAAACTTTCACACATTGCTGCAAAACAAATTTGGAATTACAAAAGTAATTCCCTGCTTCAGGATTGTGAATTATAAACAAAATACATATAAAAATGTACCTTTTATAATTACTATAGCATTTTTGCCCATAATTTCCCATCAATTAAATAGTTATAATCCAAATGAACCTCATCTTGAACCATATTACTCCTTTAATCCAGGATCAGTGACCACCAACCAAGTCAGCACAGGCATTATCATTTCCATCACTAAGAGATCAATGCACTAAGACAAAACAACATTGAATTATAATGGCTATAATGTAGTTTAAAATACTTCAGTATAGACTCTATGATATGAAGAATGTGTTAGTTTGGCCCCATCAAAAATGCACACTCCAGGAGTGGCCAGCTAACACATTAACCACACTCCAGAGACAACTATAAATCTTTCAGCCCAATATTAGAGGCTTTGCTAACTGGCAAGACATAGAAATGAGCTGTAACTGGTGACACATCAGCTTGTTAATCAGCATAATGGATGTCAGAAATAGATTCTCATTGGTTAAATTCCTGGATTCAAGAAAACAGGATAGATTCAAGAAAACAGGATAGATTTAAACAGGGGCACCCTGACCCCATGAATAAATAGAGCATAAAAATCTAGTACATACTATAGTCAATATCCCTGGGGATAATACCCAAGGCTTGATCCCTAAATGGCCCATGATAAACTACAGGGTCCAGGGTATCTGGTGACCTGATGCTGACAGTAGGTTTAACCCTAGAATATTAGCTGCCTCCTGTAAATCTTTCAGATCAAGTAAGGATAGTCAACTAAAGGATAGAGAACTCGGACTTCAGCATACTGACTTGCCAATAAGTTTGTTTAATAAATGTCTGTGTGTCTGAGACTTGCCCTCATTAAGAACTGGTAGATGTAGCTGGTAGAAGAGCAGCTAACCATTATTATTCTCCAACAATTGGTGACTATTATCTATGAGAAAGAACCAGTAGTTGGGCATGGCCAAATTGCTCCAGTAGTTCACAACTCACAAGTACAGGGTGCCAACATAAAATTCCATCATGCACAGCAAAGAAAATCTATTTTAAACCAATGGACAAGAGAGGGTGTGGGTGTGGAAAAGACTTTCTGTTTTGCTGATAGACACATGGCACCAGTAGAACCATGTCAGCCCTCTTCATTAGTAAGAAGCAACTAGGGGCAAACTGTGTGCTAGCTCAGGATGACCAAATGACTTTATCTACTTGGCAATTCAAATGGACTTCAGGTGGTTATCTGAAGAGCTACGGTTAAGTGGTGTCGGAGGGCAGGTGTGAAGTTATTTGGACAAATAAATAACGTCAAGCTGCTTTATATACTTCCTGTCCTGTGCGGTCACAAGTTCAAACAATTAAGATCTCCATTCCCAAATTTGCCTGGACCTTTTTCCTAAGCTCAAACTAATATTCTAGCAGGGTTTTTCAGACTGTATGCAAGACGTAAAGGGAATTTCCATATTTCAACACCAGTTTGCAAAACTGAGGAGCTTCTACCTAACCTTCAATTAGAAGTGATTAATCTGCATTTTAAGGATAAGGATAATCTGCATTTTAATACTGAAAGGCACATATCAACAGAAGAACCAAACATAATTCCATCAACATTTTCTAAGCAATGAATATGCTCAATGAAAATCAACTGCTTGGGGAATGATATCAGTATTTGGCAGTACCTACATGGGTGAAAAGGCATTATCAAAGGAGAAATACATAAAATCTTATTACAAAAAAAAGTTATTATATATCAGCCTTAATAAACATTTGCAATCAATTTGGGGGATGGAAATAATCAATTTGAGTCCCAATTAAACAAAATGTTATTCTTCCTTCCCCAAAGAGAATTCTTTCTTTCTCATGAGTAAACTTATATTACAAAAAATTGTACTTAATTTTATTTTGAGCTCCATCAACAAAAATTCTGTGAAAAGGCTCATTACGTAATTTAATTATGTACATAAGTGCCTACATACCTTGATTTGGCCTCTTGGTCCACAAAGCCTAAAATATTTATTATCTGACCCATTACAGAAAAATGTTGCTGATACAGACTATAGTAAAAAATGAAATAGATCTATTGATACCAACATGGAAATAAATATGACATATTAAGTGAAAACACACGCCCACACAAATGTTAAGGCAAAAGGACAATATAATTCTATGTATGCAGAAAATCCCCTTAAAACATCTATTTGCATTTGTATGTCTATGCACATACATACAGATGATGTCTGGAAGGAAATCTTAAATTATTGACAGTGATTGCTTCTAGCAGACAAACACTCTAACCTACTGTTTGCTCTCCATAAAGTACCTAGGGTTACGCGTAAAACATAAATCAGATTTGGTTACTACCCCGTTCAAAATCACCAATAACTTCTCATCACACTTAAAACCACCGCCCCCTTATCAAGGACTGAAGGACCTAATGATCTGGTTTCTGGCCACCTTCTGACCTCCTTTCCTACCCATCTTCCTTCAGCTCAACCAGTTGTTGATGCACTGGCCTCCTTGTTCCTGCAAGTTTTTTTTTTTTTTAACTTCAAGGTATTTGTACTTGCTGTTAACCTCAGATTAAAAATTAAAACATGGCTTTAGCAGGCTCCCTCCTCCACCTCCCTCAGGCCTGTGATGTAATAATGTCTCCTGCTCAGAGAAGATGCCTGGGCTGCCTCCTCTAACCACCACTTTCATGTCTCACATTATTTTTCTTTTTATCACATATTGCTCACTGGCTGACACTATGTTACATATTCACTTACTGTCTGTCTTCCTCTGTAGAACAAAGCCTCTATGAGGGGGGCACCATGTGTTGTTTCATTCCCTGTTATCTCCCCACCCACTAGAAGAGTGCCAAGGGCATAACAAGTACACAGCTCACTTTCAACAGTTATTAAGTGAATTAATGAAAGGAAGTAAGTCAGGAGCATAAGATGGGAAAATTTTATTCTTTTTAGCAATCTTTGTTACATGTGTATTGATTATAAAATTAGACAATAAAAATGTAAAAAGAAAAAATTTTTTATGATTTTAAAGATTGTTTTAAAAAACAAAATTAGGTCTCCCCTTAGTTCCTGTTCTTCTAATACTGATTACTGAATCTCTCTGTACTTATTCTTGAACCCTTTATTACACATTATCTTAGATATCAACAATAGCATCAAGTAAAACGGAACTGAAAACAAAAATTGAAAAATGACTTGCATTTCAACATAAAAGATTTAGAGGTACAGTTTGATGTAGAGAGCAGTCTTTACTGCTCCACAATTTCAGCAGGTACGAAACCTTCACTTAAACTGAAAACTTTATGGTTTTAACTATGGTAAATTTCCAAAGAGAGCTGGTTTACCTGAGTCCCAGTTGGGCTGACAGCGGACATTTACAACATCAATGAGTCTTAATTTTATTATTTAAAAAAAAAGGGGGGTAGGGACTAGATTCTGGATAAGCAACATCTTTTCCTATCTTAGAATGCAATGATTTTTCTGTCTCTTCATAATGACGTCAAGTAAGGCAGATGACTCTAGAAGATTCCATTGTATCAGGATATACAGAATGTTTCTGAGTCATACCAGGGCTGGCTCTTGCTGTATGTACACCATTGTGTGAAAGCCCACATCATGTGATCACTGAAATCTTCCTCCAAGTCCCAGTCACTCAACTGGGACCTGTCCCTCATCCTCTTCTACTTACTCCAGACCCTTGGGGGCTGTAGACACTGGATCAAGTCCTGTAACAAGAGGTACATCTGCTTCCAAGGACTATCACACTCTAGACAACACTGGAACTTTAGGCTGTGCCACACTGCTTGAAACCACCTTTTTCCCACTTAATTTATATTTGCATGTCATTAAGTTATTATTCAAAACCTTAAAAAATACACAAGATAAAAACAAAGAAGAATGAGAAAATAAACTTCAGGAACAGGATATTCTTTTTTTTTTTTTTCCCTTTTTGTCTTTTTTTACTGACCGGTGACGGGATCGCAACCCTCAGTGTTGCACCTGCACTGCGCTCAGCCAGTGAGCGGGAACCGGTCTCCACATGGGATCCGAACACTCGGCGGGAGCGCCACCGCGCTCCCAAGCGGCGCACTATCCAGTGCGCCACCAGGCCGGCCCGGAACAGGATATTCTTAACAACCAAAACAATTCTACATATCTACTGTTTTATATTAACTTTAGGGTCAATATAACTTTAAAATAAATATTTTGAAAACACATACTAAGCCAAATTTAATATATGTTCAGAAAGATAAGATATAAATAATAGGTTAAAATATACAAAATTATTTTAATTTTTTGTGAGATGATTCTGGGGAGTTAAACCTCAAGAAAAAGACATGTAATACATCTGTGATTATTTCAACCCCCATGACTTCTCCATCTTGGAAAAAGTGGTTAAAACCATTTGAAGAGTAGAGAAATGATAAATAGTAAATTTGGTGAAAATGTTTTTTACTCTTGCTACTTTTGCTATAATTAGTTCATTATTATGCTGTTCATTACATAATTTATTATTATGGTTACAATTAATTATAGATAGGAATAAATCTGTTTAAATGATATATACTTAAAACAAAATAAGTAGAAGTCAAACAAAGCCTGTTACAAATGAACTTCTTACTGCTCAAAAATGTTTTAAAAAATATTTCTTTGGAAGACCTGGTCTGTTAGCTCAGTTGGTTAGAGCACAGTGCTAACACCACCAGGGTCAAGGGTTCAGATCCCCCTACAGGCCAAGTGCCAAAAAAGAAGGAAAAAAAATAACAGTTAAGAATATTTCACTATAGTTAACATTGTCCAAAATTTCTTCAAAAATAAACATTGATAACATATTTCCAAATTTACCTCCTCTTTCTTGATAGAATCAATGGCTTATGCTACCTTAATTTCCCTTCTAAAATAAACAGCCTCACTATAATGAACCTAGATTTTTAAAAAACATCGTCTATTAGTATGCATCTTTACACAACAATCACGTTATAAGGTGAGAGAGACTATAATGGAACAAGGAAAAGGCATTTGCTCTAGTCAATTATTCATACTAGGTATCACTTGTTCTTCTGACCTGTTAAGAAGGAAAAAGCTTAGAAAAATGTATTCCTAACAATGGATTTGATCAATAAGCCTAGAAACTCCATAGGGCAGCAAGTCATCTGTTCCTAAAGAATTTATCATTAGAAAACATCAAACATGGGCCGGCCCGGTGGCGCACTGGATAGTGCGCCGCTTGGGAGGCGCGGCGGCGCTCCCGCCCGAGGGTTCGGATCCCACATACAGACCGGTTCCCGCTCACTGGCTGAGCGAGGCGCGGGAGCAACACCGAGGGTTGCGATCCCGTTGCCGGTCCCCGGTCCGGTACGGGGGCAACACTGAGGGTTGCGATCCGTTGCCGGACACGGAAAAAAGACAAAAAAAAAAAAAAAGAAAACATCAAACATACATTCTCTAAGTTTAAAAAAAGGGAAAACACAGGAAACAATTTAAATTACAAAAATGTGATAAATTTAAAATATGTATGCATTATTACATATTTGTATAACAAAGATATTCGGAAAAAGAGATTCACATACTTCCACTATATCCACTGGATAAGTTCTCCTTTTCCTCTGTAGATTTCTCCACCTCACAACCATCTACAAAGTTTCTTTTACAGTCACTTTGTGCTTCATCACCTTCAGAGAAATTCAACATTTTTGAAGGGGTACCTTCTTTCTGCATGCTTTTTCCGTTTTCTTTCGTTTCTTTACTGTTTCCTTTCAAATGAGTTAAATCGCCATGATGTCCTTTTGGATGGGCAGGGTCATCAATGGTAGGAGAAAAGTTGCTTCCATCTGGGCATGTGTCTTCTCTCTGCTGAGGGCCAGCCTGTCTACAAACCCCTGGGGTTTCTTCAGCGGCAGGTGTTTCCCCGCAAGTCATGCAATGCAAAGTTGTATTGCCTTCATCGTTTGCAGGTTTCTGAGGAGTGGAGCTGGTTTTTGCTGTTAAATTGGTAATGCTGACTGATAAGGGTTTTTCACCAATGCAGGAAAAATCAGACATCTCTAACATGATTGTTCTCTCCCTCTTAGAAAGACTTCTTCTGCTGCTGAACTGAGCAGGGCTTGATGACGGCTGTGATTCAGGAAGAAGATTCCCTGAGTTCCTTTCTCTAAGATTATCAGGTGAAAAATAATCATCATATGAGGACTCTCCATAATCAAGAGTCTCAACAGTAGATCTGGTCATGAGCTGCAAGCTATTCCCTGACTTAAACAGCAGCAACCCTGGCATCATAGATTTCCTACAGTACCTCTTTTGCTTTAGTTTTTCTTCTGGAGATGAGTGTAAGTCCTCTGACGTTCTTTTTCTCTTTGTTGAAGAACTGTTGTGTCTTGAATGTATCAAAAGGCAGCCTTTTGCTGTAGATAATGTAGGAGACACACTGTATTTCTCATCAAACATCTCATTATACAAACCTTCAGCTTGCTTTTTGTCAGGGGTGACTGTTTCACCTACAGTATCTCTTTGCCAATTTATTTCTTCCTTTGAAAGATTGTTCATGGACTTCTGAGGGCTTACTTGATTGAGGTAACTGCAAGATGCTGATGAACGCATACTATTTGTTTTCAATACAGGTGAAGAAACACACATATCACTTTTAATTTCACTAATGGATCCTCCCAATTTCCTTTCCTGATTTCCACATCCTGAGTTTCCACAAGGATCATCAGAAAATGAGTGCAAACCATCAGCAAACGATTCAACTAGAAAATATTAATAAAAAATTAACTTTTAAAAATGGCTTGAATTATAATTTTCAGTTAACCAATAAAATAATACTTTTTAAGCACAGCTCTTAGTTAAGAGTATTGACCATATTCTGTTCTTCTCATTTCCACTTAAGGACAACTTTAAGGCCAATATTTTAAAATAGGTAACCTGGGCTTTGATGATATTAATGGGATACAGGTAGGGTGGGGTGGGAGGAAGAGGGTTAACAAACCTCTAAAAATATTATGCAAATTTCCACATGCATGTGCACTCTTTCCCAGGAAGAGCAACCATAGCTTATCACTGAATTCTCCAGGAAGTCAAGAATTTCAAAATTTAAGAATTACTGCTTTAATGTCTAGGTCAAATCCTAGTCTTCCACAAAACATTCCCCCAATTAATACAGCTCACCTTTACCTTCCCTGACTTCTTGTGAAGTCCTCGAATTATATTTATATTCAAAAGTGAACCATCTGGTAGACCTTAATGTTTTGACTTCCCATATGGCTTATACATTTGTTTGTTTGTTTTGCTGGCCAGTACAGGGATCAAACCCTGGACCCTGGTGTTATCAGCACCATGCTCTAACCAAGTGAGCTAACCAGCCTAGCTTATATTTTTCTTGAAAGTAATGCTGAGCTACTACCATCTTCTGAAAAGTCTACGCTATTCTATATGGCTAGGCCTTGCCTTTCCTCCACATCTCTCTCTGAGTAAACACTATTCATCCTTCTAAACCCACCTAGGATGTAACTATCCCTGTGAACCTTCCACTGACCTCACCAGGCCTAGTTAGCCATGTCCTCTCCTCTTAGTATTACGCATCACACTGCACTGTGGTGATGTGTGTATCTGCCCCTCTCACTACACCAACAACTACGAGAGAACAGACACTACTTTCTGTTCATTTTGGAATCTGAAGTCTCCAGCCCAGTGCTGGATCCCCTAATAGGGGCTCAGTTTCTTTGATGAATGAATGAAATAACTCCGTTTTATAAAAACCAAACGATCTGGAGGCAACATAAGTGTTGCAACTTTCTGACAGAAATCACTGAAGTTCTATTTTAAAAAGGAAGAACACAGGTAATGGACACAAAATGGAGGTTTAACTGATGCAATGTCTCATACCTTAATTCTACTACAATACTGAATTTCAGGGAAAAAATTATGAGTTCTATTTCCAATTGTTTTACTCAGTAGAAATGTCTACCTGAAATTCTAACTAAGAAAATCATACCATTCCCAAAGCTTAAATACATCTCAGCAAAGAAAATAATAATTTTACCTGAACACAAAGTATCATGTAAAATGTGCAAAGATGCTTCACAGAAAGAGTTACCTGGATTATCATGAGTGTGTTCAATCATTTGGGAAGCTGAAAACAGAATGAAAACATTTTATTAACTACAACTTCAGTATTTTTTTGCAGATGAACCAACAGTAAGTTCGCCCATTCTACTCTTATATATGATACACACACCAACTTATTCCTTATACCGCATATACAAAACAATAAGTACAAACTCTTAGTCAAATCTATTACAGATGATGTGAATCATAAAAATAAATCATATTACTAAAAAAGAGAATCATACAAGTTAGAAGGGGTCTTGAAACATCAACTTGCCTAACCTAATCAGAAGCGCAGCAAAGTTAAATGGATTTCAGTGAGCCCTCCTTTTTGATAATCATGGTTTTTTCTTTAACGATGCTCGTAATAGTTACCTCTGTAACTAGAGCTGTGGTTCTCAACCAGGAGTAATTTGTACTTCCAGCATATACTTGGTAATGTCTAGAGACATTTTTTTTAGGGTGCCCATTTTAAATACAGTTTCATGACACTGCATTTTCCATTTACAATACAGTGCTTATAAACTGCAATGTTATTTCTTTTTCTTGTGCATATGTTCCATATTCAAGTACTGAGATTGCCCAGTAATTTACTATGGCAACTCAACTTCAGAACTGTCACAGAATTTCCTACAAATTTGGGTCCTTCAGTGCTTTACTGCATGGAGCAATACTACACCTATACTTGAGTTGGCTTAATGAACCTCTTCAGTGGTCGGCCCTGAGGAAGCGCCACCAGACGAAAGAGCTCCCCCGCCAGGGAAGCTTATGGGCATTCCTCCTGGCATGCCTCCTGCACTCTGGTACAGCTTGGTGATGGTGCGGTTGCAGACTGTCTCCAGCTCTTTGATGATGTTCAAATTCTTCCTTCTCTGCAGCCTGATTCTTATCAAGCCAGTTGATGATTTCATTACACTTGCCAAGAATCTTCTGTCTATCCTCACTGTTGGTCTTGCCTTGAAGTTTCCCATCTTCAACAGTTGCTTTCATGTTGCATGACAACTTGTCTGTCTGCTTCTCATCTTCGGCTTTGTACTTTTCAGCTTCTTGGATCTTCTGTTCAGCATCTCCCTTGCTCAAATGGCCCTTGTCATTAGATGGTAATCTTGTCCTCTTTTCCTGTACTCTTATCTATAGCAGAGACACTGAGGATGTCACTGGCATCAATATCAAAAGTGACTTCAATCTGAGGAACACCATAGGGTGCAGGAGGTATGCCTGTGAGTTCAAATTTGCCAAGCAGGTTGTTATCCTTGGTCACGGCATGCTTACCTTCATAAACCTGAATGATCATACCAGGCTGGTTGTCAGGTAGCAAAGGTCTGTATCTGCTTGGTAGGAATGGTAGTATCGCGCTTCATGAAGACAATCATGACCCTATTAACAGTTTAAATACCAAGAGAAAGAGGAATAACATCCAAGAGCAGCAAATCTTGAACATTTTCAGATTTGTCCTAGCCAGGATGACTGCCTGGACAGTTGCACCATAAGCAACAGCCTGACTGGGTTGATGCTCTTATTCAGCTCTTTTCCGTTGAAGAAGTCTTGTAGAAGCTTCTGAATCCTGGGGACATGGGTAAAACGACCCACCAAGACAATATCATGGATCTGTGATTTGTCTAGTTTGGTATCCCGAAGGACTTTCTCTATAGAGTCCAGGGTGTCATGGAAGAGGTCAGCATTCAATTCTTCAAATTGGGACCGGGTAATGGAGGTACAGAAGTTGATTCCTTCATAGAGAGAACTGATCACAATTCTGGCCTGGGTGCTGGAAGACAGAGCATGCTTAGCATGTTCACAAGCAGGATGAAGGCACTGGACAGCTCTTTTGTTCTCACTGATGTCATTCTTATGCTTGTGCTTGAACTTAGCAATAAAATGTCTGACCATTTGGTTGTCAGTCTTATCCAACTAAGTGGGTATCTCCAGGTGTAGATCTGACTGCAAAGACTCCATCCTCAACAGTGTGGATTAACACATCAAAAGTGCCACCTCCTAAATCAAAAATCAGCACATTTTTTCAGCTCCAACCTTTTTGTCTCAGCCATAAACAATAGTAGCAGCAGCTGGCTCTCTGACAATTCTGAGTACATCAAGACCAGTAATAGTTCCAGCATCTTTGGTAGCCTGGTGCCAAGAGTCATTAAAGTAAGCTGGCACTGTGACCACAGCATTGGTAACAGTCTTCCTAAGGCAGGCTTCTGCAATTTCCTTTACCGCCTCTGGAGAGAAATTTTTTGTCTCTCCCTTGTATTCTACTTGGACCTTTGGTCTGTCTGCATCACTCACCACCATCCAGGGCCAATGCTTCAAATCGGACTGGGCAACAAACAGCATCATCAAAACTATGCCCAGACACTTTGCATCAAAAACTGTGTTGGCTGTGTTCACTGCAGTTTGATTCATTGCAGCATCACTGATCAATCATTTGGTGTAAGTAAAGGCAACACAGCTTGGGGTGGTTTGGTTCACCTGATTATTGGCAATTATCTGTAGTTTCCCATGCTGGAAGACACCCACACATGAGTAGGTGGTGCCAAGATCAATGCCAACTGCAGGTCCCTTAGACATGATTGCCTGTGTGTAAGTCCAGCTTGGCTGGCAAAGAACATACATGAACCCCCAAAGCTGCCGCCACATTCAATGAGCTAGAAACATTTTTGGATATCACAAGTCAGGGACGGAGTGAGGTATGTTACTAGTATATAGTGGGGAGAGGCCAGGGATGCTGGTAAACATTCTGCCATGCACAGGACAGTGCCCACAACAAAGAATTATCCAGCCCAAAATGTCAACAGTGCTGAGGCTGAGAAACCCTAGAAATTTTATAGAAAACATCCAGGATATCAATGATTTAACAAATATGGTCATAAATATTATCTTCAAGGCTGTATACAACAGATAAGAAACAAAAGAAATGTTTGGGTCTCATATCCAAAGATATTTTTCAAAGAGACTCACAACAAAACGTTTCTGACAAAACTTGAGCAAATAAGTGTAAAAAGAGAATAAACCAAGATAAGAAAGGTTAAGCACAGAAATAAAATTTTCTTCTGAGTTTTAAAATATGCTGGATGCAATTAAGTGGCAGAATTAACACTGCAACATAATGGAATAAAGTTGAAAGCAAATTAGTTTATCTACATAACTTCTTGTTGAAAAACTATGGATATCCATCTGGGACTCTGCTAGTTACCTACCTCAACATCCATCCTCACTTTCCTCTTAACAGAACTCTGCTTTTATTTGTGTGGCAATGCATCCCATTAAAGAGTATATTTCGGTCTTGCTTGCAACCGGAAGTTGCTGTACAACTAAGTCCCAACCAATGTAACTAAGCAGGAATATTGAGTGGGATGCTTGGTAAGGTTCTTAAAGGGAGCTGGCTCAACTGGGAGGCACACACATTTTGGAATGGAAACCAAAGACCAAGAAAGGCAAAACAGAAAGATGGGAACCTAGATTCTTAAAGACACTGTGGAATAGCCACTCCAGCCCTGACTGCCTACTTCTGTACTTAGCATGACAGAAAAAAGCAACTCCATCTAATTTAAGTCATTGTTTTTTGCATTTCTTAGTTTATATGCAGCCAAAACTAACTGACACAGGTGCCTATTTTATATAATATACAAATATAAATTTAAGACGGATTACATATCTAACATTAAGAAAGCTCTTACAAATTAGAAAGAAAAGAAAAACAGAATAGGTAGATGGACAAAAACCATAAAATTCACAGAGGTAACAGTCAATAACATACTAAAAGGTATAGTCAGTAAGTCACAGCCAAGAAGATGAAGAAACATTCAACCTCACTAATAATCAAAAGCAAATTAAACAAAGAAATCCAGTTTTCAATCTTCGGATTGAAGAAGACTTAAAGGCTAATGCCATTGAGTTCTCCAAGGATGGAGAAATGGCCATTCTTATAAACAGTTTGTGAAGAGTAAAACAGTCCAGATTTTTGAAGTGTAATTTGATTATATCTATCAAAAAATTTAAACCCTGTTTTTATAAATTAATATTATTAAAATACATGAAGTAAATAGGAATATAAGGACTTATGTACGTGCATGGGGGGGGGAGCTTATGTCCATAGAAAGGAAAATGGTTAAATAAAAAAAAAAAACCAATGAAACCAACTAGTTAAAGAAGAATAAGGGCCGAGCCCATGGCGCACTGGGGAGAGTGTGGCGCTGGGAGTGCAGCGACGCTCCCGCCACGGGTTTGGATCCTATATAGGAATGGCTGGTGCGCTCACTGGCTGAGCGCGGTGCGGGCGACACCACACCAAGGGTTGCGATCCCCTTACCGGTCACGAAAAAGACAAAAAAGAATGAAAAGTGCAGTACGATTTCTAGTAAGGAAAATCCAGGGAAAAAACCCACTGACAGATGATAAAATATCAAAACTATAGACTACTTTGCAACATCTCAGAAGAAAAGAAGTTACTCCACATCTACTTGCCTGAAGAAAACCTCTAGGACACTCAAGTAAAAAAAGAAAGTTGAAAATAATACATATGCCATGATCCATCTCAGGGGAAAAAAAAAAAAGAAATTATGCCTCTACACAGAAACCAAACCTGTATCTTTTCCATACATACATAGATATGTGATGTACTGAAAAAGATCCAGAAAACACATTAACTTAAAATACAGGTTTATCCCTGGGCAGAGGAGTAGAATGAGGTGAGAATCAAGATAAGTTTTTAATATTAGCTATACTGTTAAATGTTTTATTAACACGTGCTCAATTATTACTTAAGAATTTAAAAAATTTAAATCAAGAAAAATGAAAACTGATCCATTAGATACATTATTAATTGAAAGCAAATTTCTTTAAGAGACATGATTTATTTAAACTTAAAAAAAAGAAAAAAATCCAAAGATATTAGAAATCACAAAGGAGCTACAACAAATAGGATTACAAACTTTTACACTTCAAAAACCTTAACGAAGCACATGATTTTCTGGAAAAAAAGTTTAATTAACAAAGTCTGCCCTGAAATAGGTCAAAATCTGTTAGAAACATTAACTAAGATATCTAGGTAAAGAAAAAAAATATTTCCACCATAATTTATTCACCTATTCGCATAATTTTCATTTTACAAACTGTAATCACTTACAGGTAGGGGAAAGATTTTCCCTCTTCTCTTTCATCTCTTGTAATCTCTTCTCCATTATGCTCTGGTGACTACTATAAATTTTAATTGTGGGACCATACATCAATGAGCCATTAGATTCAAATAAGAGAACAGGTACATCATTATCTGAAAATTAAAAAAAATTCAACTTTAAGCTCCAAAAAATGTCTTCATAGTTCAACAATATGATTCTTTGTAAGGAACGCCCACCCCCTACCCCCACAATCCTCCTCTTTTCTTTCAATGTCATTAAATAATCCTACTAATCTTCTACAACTACCACCTCCACACAGCTGCTGGCTAACATTTGTTGAGCAATTACTATGCACCAGGCACTGTGCTAAGCACCATCCATGAATTTTCTCATCTAGCCAACCCCCACAAAACCCAACATATTAGGTACCAATACTGCCACTTAAAGATGAAGAAACCAAGGCACAGAAGTTAAATAACTTACCCAGAATCACACAACTGGTAATAGGTTGTAAAGTCAGATGGGATTTGGTTCCTAAATGTGGTTTCTACCCAGGTTTCAGAAACTGCCCCCACTAACCATCGCCCCCAGCCTCAACACACACTCACAGACCCACACACAAACTTGACTGCACGAAGTGGGGTCAGAGTGGTCCCTGAACCACAAAATTATGGGCTGCTTGTGTATGGGTGCAGAGTTGTGCATTTTCCTGGAACATACCTCACATATGCTCAAAGAGGTCTTCTGGACTTTGATACCCACCAACCCCAATACAAAAAAAAAAATCCCAAGAATCATTCTATATTTTTTCCTTTGCAATTCTTATGCCTGAACAACCCTTACTATAGTTCTGACAATATACAGACATGCATTAATTAAAACAATACCTTACATCTGCAAGCTTTTAAAAGGTAATAAGATACATATGTGATCTGAAGAGAGAAAATTTTTTATCATTACCATTTTGTTAAATTCTTTTCAAATGTATTATCTCAGACACAGGAAAAAGGGCCAAAGTGACAAAAGTATAAAGCATAAAGTATAGGAGAGTGGTGCAATACTAATTTGAGGCTGGAGAAAGAGGCCAGATCATATAGGACCTAGTAAGCAGATTGTAGGACATGTTACATACAGGATTTTACCCTAAATACTTTTCCTTTGGATGACACCAAGGAACTATAAATCAGGTGGGGGAGGTCCATCTGACTTGAGATTTACATTATTCTGACTGAAGTATGGTAATAGATTGTAGGGAGACACAGTGGAGTGGAGAGCCCAGTCAGGGAGCTGTTGCATGGTATAGGAGAGAGGATGCAGGCCTGGAATGGGAGAGTTAAGAAGGAGAAAAATAGAAGGAGTCAAGCAATCATTTTAGAAGCAGGGTCCTTCATGGGTTTTAGTATTAGTATAGACAAAGATGTCAAGGATAATTCCATGTTTCTGGCTTGAGTAGCTAAGACCAGACCATTACTGTGGGTTTGTGAGAAAAGGACCAGCACAAACCAAGAGATGCAGTGGGATGACTAAGCACAAAAACTAATGATAAAGGACATATTTTTGGAAAATTATGTGCCAGCACTGTGCAGGCTAAATGTTCTATTCAATTCTGTTGCATGATTATCACATATTTAAAATAAAGCTCCATAATTCTATTTGAATAATTTCAAAATACAGTGTAGAGAATTTGTGAGATAGTATAAATAATATAGATTAAAACAGAAAAAACTAGAGAAAGTAACACTTCCTATAATGCACTACACATTATCTAGTCACCATAACTGCATATTAATAGCAATGGCATGTCAGGATTAATGTTTAATACTGGATTTAGAGGACAATGAAAAAGGCACAAAAGAGAAATACCAAAAAGACACAAAGTACTTTAAAGTTTCATGATATTCTGAAGTATTTTTCTAATCATAAAAAGAGTATCACTAACATTTGCCTACAAAGAATAAAAAACAAAAAGACCAAGTATTAGGTAAAAATACTGTATTATGTATAAAGAATAAATAAATAAGAATTTATTTCAATAAAGCTTATTAGTAAAAGCTTGCTTTTCTTCAAGAGTCATGCCTGAAAATAAAAAGTTCCGTCAATGTGATGAATGATTAAGACTCTCTGGTTGATCAGATCAACTGCATGGCTTTACTATGGCTCCTAGTCAAGTCTCCATTAGGCTACTTATATTTTGTTTTCTCCTTCCTAGCCTAAAACTACTGCAGTCTTCATTAGCTACTGCATCCTGGAAGCCAGGGGTCATCAGGCTAATTAAACAAGGTGCATGAACACAAATGCAAAGGACTGTATTACACTTCTTGGCTTACCTAGATTTGTTTTTTGCTTTTGTAGCTCTTTCGCCATTTTCTCAAATTTCCTTTGAAGTCTTTTATCATTTTCTGGTGTTTTAGGAATAAAATCTTTGGGCTGCATACATTTACGCTGTGCAAAAGGGCATAATGATTAATATATTTCAATTGTTTAAGACGGAAAAAAAAGCTCTTTCAGCTGTATTTCTGATATCTTTGATAACATCAGTAATAAAAACTTCTTAAAGAGGTGTTTCTTGAACAATATGTGGTATTTGTCTTTTTGAGCAATTATAAAAAAAACAGATGGAATTTAAAAGACTGAATAAAAGGCTCCACACTAGGTAACTATGTTTCCTGAGACATTTTCAGGATACCAGAATTCTGTTTCCAATGAAAGTTCTTTGCAAAACTTGTCTCTTTCCATTTTTTGCTATTCTCACATCTTCCCCCCCCCCAAATCATGACAGAGTAATAAAACACAAAAGCAATTATAATTTTTTTAATTGGACTTTTTAAAATTGAAACATAACTGATTACACACATTTGTGGGATAAAGAGTTGACCACCAGTATTTGTGTACAATATGTGATGATCAAATCAGGATAGGTGGCATATTCATCATTACAAAACGTATTCATTCTTTGTGTCCATTAACCAATTTTTCCCTAACCTCCTTCCCCATCCCTCCCTCTAAACAAACACAGTTCTGTTCTCTCCTGCAAGTTCAACGTATCTTCCCCTTTTTTCCTTCCTTCCCTCCCTTCCTCCTTGTTCTTCCTTCCTTTCTTCCTCTTTCTCTCTACTTTTTAGCTCCCACTTATGAATGAGGACATATGGTATTTCTCTTTCTGTGCCTGGCTTATTTCCCTTAACATAATTTTCTCTAAGTTCATCCATGCTGCTGCAAATGGCAGAATTTCATTCTTTTTTTATGACAGAATAATATTCCATTGTGTATATATACCACATTTTCCTTATCCAGTCATCCATCGATGGACATTTAGGTTGGTTCCAACTCTTGATTATTATAAATAGAACTGTGATAAACATGGGAGTGCAGGTATCCCTTCCACATGATGGTTTCCATTCCTTTGGGTACACACCCAGCAGTGGGATTGCTGGGTTGTATGGCAGTTCTATCTGTAGTTGTCTCAGGTTGCCCTAATGGCTGCACTAATTTACAGTCCTGCCAACAGTGTAGAAGGGTTCCCCCTTTTCAGCATCCTGGCCAGAATTTGTCATTCTCTGTCTTTTTGATAACAGCCAGTGTAACTGGGGTGAAGTGGTATCTCAATGCGGTTTTGATCTACATTTCCCTGATGATTAGTGATATTGAGCTTTTTTTCATGTACTTATTGGCCACTTTTACGTTTTCCTTTGAGAAATGTCTATTCAGCTCCTTTGCCCATTTTTTAGTTGGATTATTTGTTTTCTACTGTTGTTTGAATTCCTTGTACATTCTGGATATTAATCTCTTTTCAGATGCATAGTTTGCAAATATTTTCTCCCATTCCATAGGTTGTCTTTTCACTCTGTTGTTTCCTTTACTGTGCAGAAGCTTTTTAGTTTGATATAATCCCATTTGTTTATTTTTTCTTTTGTTGCCTGTGCTTTTGGGGTCTTTCCATAAAGTTTTTGCCCAGTCCTGCAACCTAAAGTGTTTCCCCTATGTTTCCTTCTAGGTGTTTTACAGTTTCAGGTTACTTTATAACTACCAAAGAAAAAAAATTATTTATTAAATCTTGCCTTATCATCTTTAAATCACAACAACTCCGTACAGCCAATAAAATCCCAAAACTCTAACTACATACACAAATACATGAAATCCCAGGCTGATATCCACAAGAAAGTCTTAGGTTAACTTTCTAATCTTACCATCCTCAGACAGAAAGGGGAAAACACCTCTTTTAAAACATACTGCACATTCACAGCCTTTCCCACTTGGTTTTCCTGAAAACTACACATTTACTTCTCATGTTTAGCCCAGTCACCACCACAAATACAAAAAATTAACTTTTCATCAATTTTACCTACTACTACTTCTATGCCTGAGCTCTCTCTTAAAGGATCCTAGAAAATTTAAAGTCTTCTGTCTAGATCTCTTGATTTTTAGGTTGAAGCTACCAGCCCAAATATGCTTACAGGGGTACCCAGCCTATCTTCTTTTTTCCTCGTCTAAGAGAAAGAACTTTCAGCCATTCAAGGTTAATGTCTACACTTATGTTCTTGATCCAGAATCTCGTTCTGTTAGTTATTTGCTCATTCATTAACAAAAATGTTATTATGTGGCAGGCACTGGTCTTACAACCTAAAAAGTTCCTTGCCAAAATGAAGCTTGTACTCTAGTAGGAAATGACAGAAAATAAACATAATAAATAAGTAAATTATATCATATGTGTGTTGGGAGGTTAATTTCAATGGGCTTGGAAGAGTCCTGCACTGTTTTTGCTTAAAGTACTTGCACAACATGAAATGCACTAAATAAGTGTCAAAAATAATTAATTAACAGTGTCATTTTGTAATCATGGGTCCAAACAGTTTGGGGGCAGTTTGTGCCAGCGTGTCAACATTGAGATTAGCAATTTGCTGGGAGCTCTGCCAGTGGGGCTGGGTCAGGTGGGTACAAGGCCAGCAGAGTACAAGAGGCTCCACCTCACACTCCCAGGTTCTGAGGTGCTCTATAGATTTGAAAGTCTTGTTATTTAGGGGATGTAGGGAAAGTAAAGGAAAATGGTCAGGGCCCCTCAGATGTTCAGAATCTTGCCAAGCATGTGATGTAAATATGCACGTGTGCCCAGGTGTTCCTTGGTTATTGTCTGATGTAGATGTATGTGGGCACCTAGGTGTTTCTGAGTTGTCTGACTCACACCCAGGTGTCCTGGGTTACTGAACTTAAGTATAAAGGATAAATGGCTCTGATCCACAGTGCCCCCTTCCCCTGGGATGCCCTGGGGGTGCTGCTACTGCTGCTGGAGGCTGTTGCTGCAAGCTGTTGCTGCCAGGGCCACCGGGACCCTCTGGGAGGCCACCAACACTGCTTCTAGAGGCTGCTGTAAGCTGCTGCTGGATCTGTAAGCTGCTGCTGCTGAGGAAGCTGAGGACTGAGCTCGTGTCTTCTGCCAACAGCTCCTGGGATCTTTCCCAATTACCTAGCTCATGGATCTGCATGGGAGGGGTCTGGTGACCCAGCCAGGCATGTGAGGGGTCTGTGACCCAGTCTGTACAATGGGTTTGAAGGGTCTCTGAGCCCTAGCTCTAGCCCAGCAATACACTTGGCTATGTCAGCAAGAGTCTGACAACTGCCCTAGCTATACAGGGGTCCTGTGAATCTTCTTGAGCAACTGGACCCTATCTAACTGCTACCATTATCACAGTGTGTTAGAAAGATACAGTAAGGGGCCGGCCCGGTGGCGCACTGCTACAGTGCGCCGCTTGGGAGTGCGGCAGCGCTCCCGCCGAGGGTTCGGATCCCACATACAGACCGGTTCCCGCTCACTGGCTGAGCGAGGTGTGGGCTCAACACTGAGGGTTGCGATCCCGTGCCGGTCCCGGTCCGGTACGGGCGCGACACTGAGGGTTGCGATCCGTTGCCAGACACGAAAAAAAGACAAAAAGGAAAAAAAAAAAAAGAAAGATACAGTAAGTACTACAGATAAAAAGGAAAAGCGGGATCAGGATAGCCAGCACAAGTGGGAAGGAACTGCTGTTGCAAATAAGGGGTCTGAGTAGATTTCATGGAGAGAGCAACATTTGCACAAACCCTTAGGAAGTTGGAAAATGAGTCATGTGGATGGATTTTGGGGAGAAGCATGTTCCAGATAAAGGGAACAGATAATGCAATCGCTCTGAAACAGACACCTGCCTAGTATGTTTGAGGAACAGCAAGCAAGTCACTCAGGCAGCAGCAGTAAGGGTGAGGGGGAAAGAGGCAGGGAACTTCCTCAAAGAATCCAAAACAATTAGGGTCTCCAGTCATGTTTAATTTGAAATTGCATTTGAAAAAGGGAAGAAAAGGGCAGGTTTTAAGACATAAGTAAAAATTAAAGTGAATGAGCAGTAATTATTCATGCTTCAGATTGGGAAAAATGAAAAAGATTAATAATACCCAGAAGTGGTCAGTGTGTCAAGAAACTGGTACTATTGTACACTACTGGTGGAACTGTTAAACATCAAACCGTGTACGAATCCTGACCCAGTCATTTTACTTCTAGATATCCAACTTACAGAAATAAACTCAAATATGTCACATAAGTAATGTACTTAGCAAAAACTGACAATGATCTAAAAGTGCATGAAAAGAGGGCCGGCCCAGTGGCGCACTGGAGAGTGAGCCGCTTGGGAGCGCGGCGGCGCTCCTGCTGAGGGTTCGGATCCCATGTGGAGACCGGTTCCCGCTCACTGGCTGAGCGCGGTGCGGGTGCAACACCGAGGGTTGCGATCCCATTGCCGGTCCCCGGTACGGGCGCGACACCGAGGGTTGCGATCCCGTTACCGGTCAGTAAAAAAGACAAAAAGGAAAAAAATAAAAAATAAATAAAAGTGCATGAAAAGAAAGGCACATTTGCACTGTGTAACACAACGCAGAAAAATGAGGAGAGCTGCACATCTACTGACATGCAACGATCAAAAAATACTGTTAAGTGGAGAAGAAATGCAACCCACCAGACAACACACACGACACAGCAGAGTCCCATACATGTAAAGCATAAATGTGTGAATGAACGTGTAATGCACCTATCCCAGAGACATCCCATCCTGAAAGATACTCAGCAAATTGAAACTGTTTATTTGAAGGGAGGGAAATTAAGAGAGATGTTTGCTTTATCTGTGTTTACTAGATGCTTTACACTGAAAATATGCATTTATTATTAATGTAGTTTTACCATATTTTAACATGTTACAGAGAGTCAAGAAACTCTGCTGTACACTCTTTTTCACCTACAATCAGATGAGAAGGTCTGGAGGAAGACTGAAGTAAGTTTATCCATCACTGCAGTGACAAACTCTGGTTTGTCTGAGACAAAAGGTAATGGACGTATATCATCTATTGTTTCCAGAAAATGTGGAGAAGTCCACAGCTATTTCTCCTTTATTCTATAGGAAATGTACAGTTCTTATATATCTAATTCAGTTTGGAGAAAGCTGTTAAATCTTCTCTCACAGAGAATCTCTGTGAAAGAGAAAAATAAAATAAAATAAAATAAATAAATAGATAGATACCTGGAAAGGATGTATTTCAAATGTGAGTTAGATCTCACAGGAAGGCAGTGACTTTAACTTTCTATGTAATGCAAATTTCTATAATAAGTGACTTTGCATGCTTGGATATATCTACTTCAGACTTATGAGATTTTTTGGCTAGACAGAACAAAGGCATTTTATGACAGATGTAACAAATTGAATTCTAAAGTAATGACCAGAGCACCTGAATGTTTGTTGATCTCTTGGCTAACTTTAGTTTTCCTTGCCCAACTGAAGCCTCTTCCATTTCTAACAAATTACATCAAAGCATTCATAAGATAAAATAATCTCTATGATTCACTAAAAAATGCTATGTGAAAAAAAATCATCATCAATGGCATATTTAAAGCAACTCTTGGGTATATTTCTAAAGGTTATGTTTTCTAGGAATAAAAAATAGGAATGAATAAATTCATAGCTGCTGCTGTCGACACTGAAATCACATACTTACTTTTTTTTTAATTAGGCTTGATAAATGTTCACGAGTATTAGCTGCAGGGAATAATGTTTCATCAATGTGTATTCCAACTGTCCTGCATCTGTATAATTAAATTGAAGTAGACTAATGAGTATTTGTTTCTATTATATTCACACAGCAATAAAATTGCACGTGTAAATTAGCAATTTAAGAAATCCATGCACAGGTCATTTTAATAGACATTTCTTTTAAAATAAGTACACTGAATACCAAATACGAAAGTCAATATAAATTAAACTTTCCAAAATCTTCCCTAAATGGCGTTTTTTAAGTATAGGAATAAAGGCAAGAGGCAGGAAAAGGAAGTACAATTTTCGTGCAACAATTTTAGACTTGTATCACACTTCAAAATTATCAGTCCATGGCATTCATAAAGGTATAAGAAAATGCTATTAAATTATAAGAGTAAGCAGACTGTAAAATAGAATATTTAGAGCTAGAGGGTACATAAAGTAATTGAGGCCAGAGAGTGTCTCTTTCCTCCAAAACTGGTTGTCATTTATGTGTGCTTCTGTCAAGACACCACCGGCACCCCAAAGAGAGAGATGTGTGATTCCAGCTACTGGGAGCTGTGCTTCCTCCTTCCATACCTGTCTGTCCTCACTGCCTGCCATTTCTCCTCTCATTATACTGTTTGTCCCTCCTATATGGATTTCTCGACTATTATCTCCTTCTAAGCATTCAGTTACTCAATGCAAACAATTACTGTTAATTTTCTAAGTGAATTCCTGTTCTATTGTTTCTCCTCTTCTAATTCACTCATATATTGCTGAAATATTAATCTTAAAACATTTACCCATCTCTCTCCAACCCAGATCAAACACCTTCAATCACTCCTGTATTTATGGAATAATCTCACCCATCTATTGCCTATTCACCTCTCCAAATATCTTTCATAAGACTATCACTGTTCAACATATAATATGCAAATAGATTTTAGAAAAGAAAATTGAAATACAGAGCAGTAAAAAAGAATATACCCGTATTGATATAGAAAGCCCTCTAACACACAAAAGAATAAAAAGGAGGTTTCAGGATGTATGGCATAGCATGGTCTATACGGTATGGGAAACGACAAGAGTAATTAAACTAGGGTAACGAATCTCACAGTGTGGTCAGAAGACCCCAGGCGTATCCTCACACACTTTCGAGGATATGCAAAGTCAAAATTACTTTTGTAATGGGCCGGCCCGGTGGCGCACTGCTGCGGTGCGCCGCTTGGGAAGTGTGGCGGCGCTCCTGCCGAGGGTTCAGATCCCACATACAGACTGGCCGCTCACTGGATGAGCGAGGAGCGGGGGCAACACCGAGGGTTGTGATCCCGTTGCCGGTCCCGGTCCGGTACGGGCGCAACACTGAGGGTTGCAATCCGTTGCCAGTCACGAAAAAAGACAAAAAAAAAAAAAATTACTTTTGTAACAATACTAACATGGCATTCTCCTTTTCCATTCCTCATTCATGACTATACAATGGAATTTTCAGAGGCTGAGTGACCTGTGCCATCCCAATAAATAGAATGGAGAAGCAGATGTGAGAACACAACTGTTTTCTACTTAGCCAGACAAAAGAAATTTGCAAAAATATTTTAAGAAAAGAATACAATGTAGTAATTGTAACAAGAGAAGTACAACCAGGTAGAAGAAGAGCAAAAAACAGTACAATGGATACGAGAGGAGCCAAGAAAAGCTTTAGCTCAGAAATGATCACAGACCAATTCTGATGAGGACACAGCTTTGGGAGGACAGAGATCTTCCACCTGGAAGAAGAGCATAGACAAATGCACTATGGAGTGGACAGCATGATATTTTTGGGAAAACATACACCATTAGTATGACTGAGGGAATGAGTTAAGAGACCAGAGACAAAGAAGAATTCAGGTCCTCCTGAGGGAAGTATCTGTCCAGTTAATGAGCATGGACCCCCATCCTTGGGTCCTTCGGAATGGTGTGAGGGAGGGGCCATAAACAGGTCACCTGAAGGATGGGTTCCAGGATGATGACACTGAGGGAGAGGAGGTGAGTCAGGGGCTACTGCAATAACTCAGGGAGGAGATGCTAAAGATTTCAACAAATGCAGGGGGGACTGGGGTGGGGTTGGGGGAATAATTAACTGAGGAATACTCAGGCAATAAAAATGGAGAGTTCTTGACCTCTGTTTAAATCTGGTCTAGACTGATCACATGCTTTTCTCTTGCCCCCAAACCTCAATAAAATGACAGTAAAGGAAAACAAAATAACAAAAGTTGACAAAAATAAAGAGTAGATAAGAGCTATTTGGGGAACTGAAAAGGAAATGAATAAAGAAAAAGGAAACCCAAGGTTGGCAGCAGGGGTGAGCAGTCCACAAAGAGTGACCAGATTCTCTTCCCAAACTTCCAAGCAAATCAGGCAAACAAGGCCCAGGTGAAGCAAGAGTGGGCAGCCGCTGAACGCAGAGGCTGCCTGGACCACTCTCCTGTGCCCACTCACCCTTGCCACCAAAGTGGAAGCACTGGAACCCAAGAAGCTCTGGACTTAAGGACACCAGGCCAAGCTCTGAGTAAAGAGCTTTTCATGAAAGGAAATGTATTCATAGTACACTTTGAGATTCTTCTAAACACAACTTTTACAGTCCTGATAATGTAGACATAACTAGTGATGTAACCAAAATTTACCATGTACATGGAATAAAGAGTGGAAAAAGACTGAATGTCTGTGCAAATAGCAGATGCATGCACGTGGAAGCAGGGTACCCTGGAAGGAGGCTAGCTAAAAACTAAGTTCTCACTTATCACTAAATTCTCCCTATCAGAAGGTCATTAGATAATGTCTAAAAATGAACAATCAAGACACCAGTATGGCCAAGCATTTAGAAATACAAAGGTAAGCAAATACTTGTAGCTGCAAAAATAGCCACATATTCCTGAAATGGCTACATCTAGGGAAAAGGAATTGGGGATGGGTCAAGAAAAGGACCATTGTTTTTCACTATAAGCCTTGTAATATTTGGTTCCTCTCTTTACACATGTGTGTGTGCATATCCATACAATCGAACATTATTTGATCATAAAAAGGAATACAATTCTGATACATGAAACAACATAAATGACCTTAAAAACATTATGCTAAGAGAAAAAAGCCAGACACAAAGGCCACATATTATATGATTCTGTTTATATAAAATATCCAAAATAGGAAAAACCATAGAGACAGAAAGCAGATCAGTGGTTGCCCTGGACTGGGGGGCATGGGGAATAATGGCTAAAAGGTACAAGATTTCATTTTGAGGTGATGAAAATGTTTTAAAATTGTGTTGATGGTATATGCACAACTATGTGCATATACTTAAAATCACTTTAAATAGCCAAATTGTATAATATGTGAATTAGATCTTAAAACACTGTTATAAAAAATAAACACATGAGATCTCAATTACATATATCCTGAATGGCTAAAATTCAAAAGCTGGACACATTCTGAATGCTGGTGAAGACATGGAATTAATGGAACACTCATACACTGCTGGTAGGAATGAATGTAAAAGGACACAACCTCCTTGGAAATGTTTGGGTAATGACCCAAGAGAAACTGAAACATACAAAGACACAAACATGAATGTCCATGGCAACTTTATTAATAATAACCCCAAAACTGGAAATTACCCAAATGTCCATCAACTGGTCAATGGATAAACACACTGTGGTATACGCATGCAATAGAATACTATTTAGCTATAAAAAGAAAATGAAACTACTGCTATACATAACATGAATAAATCTCAAAAACATCACACTGAGTGAAAGCAACCAAGCACAAAATAGTATATACTGAATGATTCCATTTATATGAAACCCTAGAATAGGAGAAACTAATCTCTAGTGACAGAAACCAGACCAGTGGCTGTTCTGGGGTGTAGGGTGGGGGCAGGGAAGCTGATTGCAAATGGACACAAAGAAACTTTCTGGAGTGATAAAAATGTTCCTTATTTTATTTTATTTTATTTTTTTATTTTTATTTATTTTTTTCCTTTTTGTCTTTTTTCGTGTCCGGCAATGGATCGCAACCCTCAGTGTTGCGCCCGTACCGGACCGGGACTGGCAACGGGATCGCAACCCTCGGTGTTGCACCCGCACCTCGCTCAGCCAGTGAGCGGGAACCGGTCTGTATATGGGATCTGAACCCTCGGCGGGAGCGCCGCTGCGCTCTCAAGCGGCGCACTGTAGCAGTGCGCCACCGGGCCAGCCCGAAATGTTCCTTATTTTAGTTGTGGTGGTGATGACATGGGTACATACATTTATCAAATTCAGTGAACCGTACACTTAAAATGGTTACATGTTATTTTATGTAAATCATGTTTTTATAATGCTGATTAAAAAAACAAAAGAAAACATAAACCAACCACCTAAGTCTGTAGAAAGCCTACAACTATGGGGTGAATAAAACACTGGATCTAATGAAAGAGATGGGAAACCAGCAGGAAGGGTAAAAGAGATGGGGGAGAAAAAGGTTTCTTAGGTATACCTCTTTTTTTTAAAGGCACCTTAATTACCAATTTTAACCCTAAGCAGTTTTTAGCAGTTTCTCCTTATTCAAGCAAAATGTTACCTATTTACCATTATCACAAATAACAAAATAACAAAAGGGGAAGTGTTTGGAACATTTCTGGTTAGAAGACATTGATGAAGAGAACTTAGATGAGTGTATTACCATACATATCATACTAAAATTATAATCATCATTATGATAAAGGTCAGCCAGCTCAGGAGTCTCACGCGACTCCTGACTGGTAAGTATTACCATTTTCTCCTATTCTGCAACAAAGGAAACTGTGGCTCACAGAGGATCATTTGCCAAAGTTTACAAACTAGTAAGTATCCTTTACAGTTAGTAGTTTTGAGAAAGCCTTGATTCGAACCATTAAAATGTGTACCCGGCACAGGTGATACAGTTATAGAAGACATGTTCTGTCCTTTTTGAGAATGAAGTCTCCACTTATTTATCTATCAGAGTGATAAGATATAAAGATATATAGGGACATACTCGCTGAATTCAATCATTTTGGGTTTAACTATTATTTTTCACA